AATTCTGTGACATAAAAGTTTTGCTTACTGTCAGTAATAAATGTTCCCAGTGATGTTTTTTGACGTGTTTCCTTTTTTATAGGCAAGTAAATAGGACTAATGTGTAAATCTGATCATTAATTAAAATTATTTTAATAATTTTATTTGGAGGTGTATTTTATATTATATTTTAAAAATGTCAACTACTCAGGATGACAGTTTTATCAGAGTGCTTTAAACGCTATCAATTATATAGCAGTTATACGGGGACTTCATCCTAGTATGTACAATACTGTCTAGTTTGTATATTTCCCCATGTAGTAATTTCATGATCACTGTGAACTTAGAAACAATGAAATTCTTTGAAAAAAAGTGGTTCAGTTATAAGATGGATATACTTATTTGCAGATTCACTGAATTAATTTAGACATGCATACATGATTGCACATCTAATATTTGCACGGCTGTTTGGAACACCTGTCCCTTCTCCGTGGAGAGTTACCAGATTTCTCTAGTCAGGAGATGCAAGGCAGAGGCTTGGTCCTGGTTGTGGTTCTCTTTCCAACTTCCTCCTTCCTCTGCCTGAGATTATTTTCTGAAGGGCCTGTTTGTCCTCAATATGCTGGCTATTATCTTTTCTCCTTAGGAGTGTGCTGGTTTTAGGGACTCTTAGACTTGCTCTGTGACTGATTCATTGTCCAGTTCGGAGATCACAAGGTCTTACTCAGCTCTCTACAAAGAGCCCTTGTTACTGCCCTGGCTGTTTACTGCCGTTTCTCTTCAGCACTGGTTGCTGTAATCTACAGGGAGTCAAGTCTTACACTTGTGTAATGACTCCCTGATTGCGATACTGACCACTAATCCCCAAGTAATTCCTTCCTGTGGTGGGTGGCTTCACACACACACACATGTATATGCATATACATTTATATTTATATATATGCTTGAACCCCCTTAGCCTGTGATTTCAAAGCCTAATTACTAGCTCTCCAGCAGTGGTATTAGAAATAAAGAGTATTGCCCTGGCCAGTTTGGATCAGCCGTTAGAGTGTCAGCCTACAGTCCAGAGAGACCCGGGTTTGGTTCCCACTAAGGGCACGTACCTCGGTTGCAGTTTGTCCCCGGCCCTGGTTGGCTCATGCGGGAGGCAGCCACTTGATGTGTCCCTTTCACGTCGATGTCTCTCTCTCTCTCTCTCTTTTTCTCTCTCTCCCTCCCATTCTATCTGAACAAAAAATTTCCTCGGGAGAGGATTAAAAAAAAAAAGAAAGAAAGAAAGAAAGACTATTCCCTTCCCTAAGAAATATAGACAGATTCTTTCTGTGTTATTTTCAGTTTCCTACTTCAAACTTCTGTATTCCCCTTCAGAACACGCAGATCAAAAACTGCTGGCACCACTCATGTAGAATCATTTCCAGCAAAGTTGTATTTAATGTGGGCTGTAGTCATCAAGGGAGAGAAACAGTATTAAAAGGCAATTACTCAAAACGATTTTTTAGTAGGTATTACTTAGCAGCGGATGATTTAGGCATAATTTGTGTATTTCCTGATAGGAAAAGAGAGAAATGTATAGAAGTGTAAGCATCTCAGGATATTGGTCACTCTTGCACCATTTGGTTGTTAGAGTAGCTGCATTCAAAAGCAACCCAGTCATCCTATTTAGAGGGGAAAAAAACAAGAAGAAGGTAATGACAACATTGCCAGCTTCTCACCAAATAGTTTCAACTGCTCAGGGTACCTGGTGGTTCTCACTTCTCCAGGGTACAAACAAGCAGAGGACTGCTTCTCCCAGGGAGAGTAGCCATTGTGCTGGCACATGAGGCTACTGATGGATAAGGGTAACGGTGGCCTGGGGTGTGGCGGGTGGAAACCCCTATATTTTCTTTAGGCATCTTTGATGTGCCAATTTCACTAAATGCCATAACTTTATCCATTTCTGATGGAGATATGTACAGCTCTGTTAATAATATATTAAAGACGTGCAATGTTTTTAGGATGTTCAGCCATATGGAGGGCTCTTTTCATAGAAACTTGGAGCTTGAATGATGATCTTCTATTGTGGTTTTGTATTGATGTTTATGAATTAGTCCTCTATTGTGGACAGCAAGCCACTGTCAGGACAGAATATGGAGAGAGACCAGTTTCCTGTAGGCAAAGGTAACAGACAGGGGTGCATTTTCATCTCCGTTTGTTTAATTTGTATGCAGACCATATATGAAAACCTGGGCTAGACTCAGGGGAGGTAGGAGTGAAAATTGATGGAAGAAATAACAATAACTTAAGATGTGCAGATGACACCATCTTACTGGTGGGAAGTAGCACTGATTTGAAAAGACTTCTGATCAAAGTGAAAGAAGAAATGCCAAAGCAGGACTGCATTTGAACATCGAGAAGACAAAAGTCATGACTACAGAAGATATAAACGATGAAGACATTGACATTATTAAAGATTTCGCTTAATTTGGTTCAGTTGTTAATTCAAATGGACACTGCAACCAAGAAACCAAGAGAAGGTGGAGACTTGGAAGGGCAACAATGGAATAATGAGGAAAGATTGCCAAGAGCAAAGTGTGTCATTAGGGACCAAGACTAAGATCATCCACACCCTCATCTTCCCAGTTACTATGTAGGGATGTGAGAGTTGGACAGTGAAGAAGGCTGATGGGGCTAAACGGTTCGTTTGCAATATGGATGAGCTCTACGGATACCGTGGACTGCCAGGAAGATGAAAAAGTGGGTCCTGGGGCACATTAAGCCTGAAACACCACTGGAGGCCAAAATAGCAAACCTGAAGCTGTCCTACTTGGGGACATCATGAGAAGATAGGGCTCTTTGGAAAAGACAATAACGTTGGGAAAATAAAAGGCAGCAGAAAAAGAAGACCAAATATGAGATGAATTGACTCCGTGAAAGAAGCCATGGCATGAGTCTACAGGGGCTGACTGGGCCGCTGAGGGTGGGACACTGTGTATGTCACTCACTCCTAGGGCCACCAGGAGTCAGAGTCCCCTCAGTATCACATAACATCTAGGAGTGCTTTATTCCTTGTATTGTGGTTCTATGTTTTTGGTTCTTTTTGAACATATTTCTGTCAGTGCTGGCCCCTAGTTGGGTACCTTGCCCACCAGAAGTATCCCATGGGAAATGAGAAATAAATAATGGGAAGCAGGAGAGTACAGGAAGCAGGGGTTTATGTTGGTGAAGAACGAGTTTGCCTTGCCTTGAATGTGTGAAAAACCTTGTGGAAGCCTTGATGTTCAGGAAGTGCTGTTAAAACTAAGTGACATTGCTCTGGCCAGGTTGGCTCAGAGTTAGAGCATCGGCCCATGGACCTCGACTGGGTTCAATTCCCAGTCAAGGGCATGTACCTTAGTTGTGGGTTCAATCTCCAGTCCTGGTTGGGATCGTGCAGAAGTCAACCAGTCGATTTGTCTCGCTCACATCAGTGTTTCTCTCTCTCTCTCCCCCACACACTCTATCTTAAAAAAAAATCAATGGAAAAATACAACAATAAAACTAAACTAAGTGATGTTGAAGATGAAAGGCCCTAGTCTCATGGGGAATTGGAGGCTGTGAACAACCAAGCAGACAGCTTGCCTCATTAAGTGGCATTTGTTGTACTGTTCTTCTCTGGACACCAGAGGATGGAGGGTGGGGCCATGGAATCGCATAGAAGTAGCCATTTATCAAGTTCATATTAGCTTCCAGGAACTCTTCTAAGCCCATTACGATATTAACACATTTAATTCTCACAGTAGCCCAGGAAAGTAAGGTACTATTCACTGATACATTCATTCTGCAAACCTCTCAGTGTTCAAGAAACGGTCACATCATGTTCATCAGTTAATCACAAAATTATTTTAAAGTATTAAATATCTATACATATATAAAACATGTAAAATATCAAAAATATTGTAACACGGTGGTTGATAGCAAAAGCTTTGAATTGGCAAATCTGAATTTAAACCCCGGATCACCATGTTTAACAGTGACCTTGCCCAGCCTCTCTTAGCCACACAGTTTTCTTATCTGTAGAATGGAGATCAGATTTACTTTTTGAGGGCTTTCAAAGTAGTTAAATAATAAGTACAAAATAAGTGGTTTTTGAAAAGAGACTACATAGCTCCTTCAAGAATTTTGGTTTAAAAGAGAAAGTGGAAAAGTTAAGGAATTATAATTCCTAGTGATTTTTTGTACTGTGCTTTACAGGATTTGTTTTTTTCATTGTTGTTTTTTTAATTTCATGATTTATGTTTTCCTTTTTAACATCTATCTAATATTGAAGTTCATCTTATTTTAAAAGTGCTTCTATATAATTTAAATTTAATTGAATTTTTTTTCTTTCTCAGTGGTTCATAGTACAGGGATGGACAAAAGTAGGTTTACAGTTGTGAGAATGTGAAACAAGAGTTTATTCTTGTATTAATATTTATTATTGTATGTATTCTTTTCCATATGAATAACTGTAAACCTACTTTTGCCCACCCAGTATAATATTGTGTTTTATAATTGATGGCATTTAGGATTCAGTGAACTACAGTTTTTATGATATATATTGACAGTTCTTTTTCTTTAGGAGGCAGTAATGTGGAAGTTATGCATTCAGACTTTCATTGCATATTAATTATGTCATATTCTTAAACCTTTTTTACCTCATCTCTTACCTGAAAAAGGAAATGTCTATTCCACAACATATTTAGTATTAAATGAGAAATGTTTATAAATTTCTTAGCACAGTGTCTGATGCAGTATTGTTAAATGCATAGTAATAATAGCCATTATTTTTATCATTATCTTTATTTTTCTAGTTAATCTGTGAATAAGTAGACCTGGATGCTAGAGCCAGGTCTGCCACTAATTAACTTTGGAATCTCTGTCTCATTTCCCTATTTTTCCAAATAATATCTTGGCTAAGATTACCTCTAAATTCCTTCCGGCTATAAAATTTTGTAATTTTATTATCTAATTCAGAATTTTAACGTGATATGACTATAAAATGAATTTTTTTTTGTTTCTTTCAGTTTGTGGGGACATCCATGGACAATTCTTTGACTTGATGAAGCTCTTTGAAGTGGGGGGATCTCCTGCCAACACCCGCTACCTCTTCTTAGGGGACTATGTTGACAGAGGGTACTTCAGTATCGAAGTAAGTCCGCATCATTTCTTTTTAGCTGCTCAGTAATAGATCAACAGTTTCTTAGTAAAATAAAAATGGTAAATTATTGTTCCCTTAAGGAAGTCCCTGGTCTATAACAATGAACTCTAATACCCTTAACTTTTGGAATATTTTTCAGTTGATTCCCAAATGTTTTTTCTAGATTATTATTTTTTTGTTAATCCTCACCCATGGATACTTTTCCATTGGTTTTTAGAGAGAGTGGGTGGGAGGGAGAGATGGGGGAGAAAGAGACAGAGAGAGTAACATCAATATGAAAGAGACACATCAACTGTTTGCCTCCTGAATGCACCCAGCCTGGGGGCAGGGATGGTACCTGCAACCCATCCTTTGACCGGTAATGGAACCCGAGACCCTTTGGTGCACAGGCCGACACTCTAACCAATGAGCCACATGGCCAGGGCCCATATACTTTTATAATGTATAGAGATTCTAAGGAAATGACTAAAAGTCATTTTATATATTTGCAACTTCGCAAAAATTACATCATATTTACATTACATAATTTTATTTCCTGTTGAAAGAACTAATCAAAGTTGGTTAAATATACAGAAATGTGCTCTCATGGTTATGCCTTATAATTATGAGAGAATGAGCTATTTTTGTAAACTGATAGTCAAGGTGTAAGTGTGCCTCTGTGTCTGGATTTGTGTGTGAATATGTGAGTACACTTACAAGTGCAGTGTTTTGTCTTTTGACACCTGTCTTCTAAGTAGGGTAATTTGTTAAACTCATTAATTAAAACAAAACAGATAAACTTTGAGTAGAGGTTCTTCTTCAGCCTTCCATCTGCTTCAAAATTACATTCAAAATGAAGGCAGGCATCTTGTTTTATTCACATGTTTGTTTTTCCTGGTGCTTAACATGGTGTCATACATAGCAAGGACTCATTAAAATTTCTTAAAAGAAATGGTTGAAATAGGAATAAGATTTAAAGTAACAGTTTATGCTATAGTAGCTGACATTATAAATGTTCTCTGAAAAAGAGCATTTTAAAAAGAAAAACAACTTTTCTTAATTAAAGACAGAATTCAGATTTACTTAAGTCTCACACCAACATCAGGTATTTATAATAGTCATATAAAAGAGACTGTAGGTTTTCAAATTGTCATCTTAATTTATTTAGTATAGGAATATATAATATTGAAAAACATGCTACTCTTAAACAGCTTTTGTTTTTAGAACTACCATTCTAACTTTATTTTTTGTTATTCAGTTCACCTCAACTCATTGACTCAAATATAATAATTATATTATTTAATAATTATTAATAATTTAATAATACGTAATATAATGTAATAATAATTATTATTATTATTATATTTCACCAATATATTAAACCTTTATTTAACGGTCACCTATTTATTTATGATGACGAAGGAAGTGGGGGTGGTGTTGGTATATAAATCCAAATGGACAAAGTACATTTTTGGAGTTTCTTCCATTTGGTAAACATGTACTATCAAGCACGTAAAATGTATATGCACTATGATCAGGACCGTTAATAATTTGAAGAAATATATATTCTTGCTCTCTAGAAAATTAAATCCATATTGGAAACTGTAACTATAAAGTATAAGCTCTCTAGAATCAAAATCCAGAACAGGTGGACATCTAGGATTCAGTTATTTGAACTGATTATTAAACTCTGTGATAAAGGAAGTACAGAAAATAATTGCGATTTGAATATAGGAAAGTGGGAGCAGATTGAGAGCGATACGTAGTGGAGAAGACTAAGTCGAAGAACAGGTAAGATTTAGCTAGGAGGGAAGTCAAAGCTTGAAAAATATAGAGGAAGAAAGTAGTAAACCTCATTGACCTCATTCCTGGGCTCACTTGACCGACATGGCGGGGAAGTGTGATTGAGTACAAATTTTTAAGACCTTTGTGTCACAGTAGGGCTAGTGCCTGCCAAGAAGAAAAAAAAAACAAACAAGAAAAAACCTGTACATGATGGTGGTTTGAACAGGATAGAAGTGCATTTCTCTCTCCATTAGAAGCCTGCAGATGGGCCGGTGTGACAAGCATAGTGCCAGGGCCCACTCTTTCTGCCTTGTTGCTCTGCTGCGCATGGTCTCATTCCAAAGGCAGCCTCGTGACCCAGGACTGCTGCTACCCCAGTTTCAGCCATCATGTCCCCACACTACATTCAGCTAGAAGGAAAAGGGGAAAGAGAAGGGCATGACTCTCATTTAAAGGATGTTTCCCAGAAGTGGCACTGTGCCTTCACCTTGGGCCAGATTTGTTGACATGACCATAGGTGATTTCACTGTGTGGCCAGATTTAAGAAAGGCTGCAGAGGCAGAAAGCAGCAATGCGAGGTAAAGAGTTTCTGCTGCCTTCCTTAAATTAGGGTTGTGTGGATATTTTTAAAAGTATTTTAGTAACTCTAAAATTCGTCTTATTTATTTAACATATATATGCTAGCCTGACCAGTGTGGTTCAGTGGATTGAGTGTCATCCCATGGACTGAGAGGTCCCAGTCAGGGTACATGCCCAGGTTGCAGGCTCAATACCCAGTAGGGGGCAGGCAGGAGGCAGCTGATTGATGTTTCTCACATCAGTATTTCTCTCTCTCTCCCCCTTTCTCTCTTAAAAAAAAAAATCAATAAAAACATATTTTAAAAAATAAAATAAAACATTTTAAAAAGTAACATGTATATATATGCTCCTATGAAAGGTTCTGAGGGTGAATGAAATAAGTGTTCTAATTTCCTCAAGGCAAGGGATGCCCAAGACTGTCGTGTGGGTAGTGATTATTTTTATTAGCCAAATAATGGAGTGTGATGGTGGAAATTTTTTTTAATATCATAATATTTATGATTTTTAACAACTTTAATTTGTTTTTCTTTTTTACCTAATCAAAGACAGTAACCCTGTTTCTTATTAATTTAGTAATACAGATAAAGTACTAAATCATGATGGATTTCATTATCTCATCAATTCCAGTTTTGGATAACATTTCTTAATCGTATTGGTCTTTATTTACCTTTTATTTTTTTTACTTGAAGAGTTTGGGCTTCTGAGCCTCTGGCCTCAAGCCATTTGAAATTTCCTAAACTGCCCCTAATTATGGCTTTTTAGAACGCTGTTTCCTTAAAGGAAAGAAGTTCAGAAGCAGTAGTCACTGACTTGTTTCTCAGCAGATTTTTTTTTTTTTTAGTATAAATTAATCGAGATATTTGAACTATGAAAGTTGTGCTGTTTTGTGTAACATGCACCATTTAAATTCAAGCAGAGGATCTAAGAATGAAACCAAATGTTGGTGACATCAAATATAGGCATCATAGGACATTTAGAAATTCTGAGATGTATGTATCGGAGTCCTCATTATCAAAAAGAGCTTTTTAATTACACTCCAAGAGTCCGAGAGTACAGCCCCAGGGATTTGCCACATGCATACAGAAATGACAAAAATATGATATAGCCTTATATGTACAAATGATCTGTTTGGATTAAACTGTGACCTTTGAAAGACTTTGGGATTTCTCAGTGGTATTGTCATAGTTAAAATAGAACAGACATTTATGTAAAATATACTTACCAAGAATACTTCGGGGCTTTTTATTGTGGATTAAGGAAGCCGACATTGTTTGCATGCTATAAACACTATTGTTTGCGAAGTAGAAATGATTTCATTTTTCCCGTACGGCTTTGCATGGACTATGTTAATGTCTTCCTTTTATGCATGCAGAAACCTAGGCTCAGGGAGAGTCACACACATAATAAATGGCAGTGCTGGGATTCAAAGCCTGTGCTCTTTCCACTACACCCCATACCTTGGCCATGTCTTCACTGAAAGAACCACACACACACACACACACACACACAAAATGCACACCTCAGGAATGCAGAAACAGACGAACACTCAACATTCACTCACGTGTGCAAACATGGACACACAGCCCTCTCCCCACCACTACGTTCTGAAAGTCACAGCGTTCGATATAAAATATTCTCTTTGAATACAGTGCTGTTGGTTTTAGAAAAATCCTAAAGTAAGAGCTCAGTGTAGCGTGCACTATCCTAACAGGCTTCAAAAGGTTCTTCGTTCATGTGAATAATTCAGGGCGCCACTGCAGGTATTCTCCTTGGCTCTCCTCTGGGCAAAGAAGAGCACTTAAGTTTAATTTTTACCAAATCAGCTTTGAAGAGTGGATTCGGATTTCATACAGTCTCTGCCGGGTAGTATTTACAGGCACCAGGTAATGTGTTCTGGGCAGTACATAGAGCTCATTTTATGTACTCGCTCCCTGCCTCTCCCCCCATCTTCTCTTCTTGCCAAGATCAGAAACCATTCCCCACAAAGTTAGCCCAAATAAAACAAGCAAGCTTTTGAGTAGTGATGAAAGAGGTAATTTTGTTTGGGGTAATAATTTGTCTCGCACCAAATACCATCCTCTTTCTGATGATTGCATTATGCTACCTAATGTCTTTGATCAAGCGTATGTGTGTACATAGGTCCATGTCTGAGTGTGTTTCTCTGGGAAGGCAGGGAAAAACAGAACAGCGAACAGAGGCACGCACAGCTGTTTCCTTCTATTCACTTCCTCAGGCTCCCTTTCTAGCCATTGCGCCTGGCATCACCTTGAGCTTAGCAGCAAGCTGGCCGGCCCCGCTGTACTTACATCCAGATCTCAGCCCAGGCCTCAAACACAGTTAAGCACGAAGAGTTGTTTTTATTAGCTGCAAACTCATAGACTAGAACGAACCACAGCAAGTCAAGCAGTGTTCCCTGCTCCCGCCTGAGAATAACAAGCGAACAATGCAGCGAGCAGTGTTAGGTGGCAGAGTGATGCCACAGACACAGGGAAGAAAGTGTCTGGCTGTCTCCCTGCAGCCGAACGTCCATGTAACACACTTCTCTGCGTGCTTGTCAGACCCGGCGAATGTCTGCGAGGAGCCGCATTTGACATTGCAGCAGTTTAGATCTTTTCCCAACCAAGGCACATCTTTCACGTAATTGTCTTATGATTGAGAGACAGCGTTTTTGATTGGAATGTGTCACTACACAGAGTTATTTTAGAGAACTGATTGATGTATATTTGAAGCTGTACACATATTGTTTACTGCCTTGCTTCCTCTTTTACATTCTTTTTTACTACCCCGTGCAAGTTTTTCAAGAATCCTTATCCTTAAAAGGCATGAATTACAAAATACATTATTGCGCTACTGTTATCAGAGAACCAATTAAATGTATAAAGAAAATGATATCCTTTAGTGTTGCTTCAGATACATTAACTAGAAGAAGATGATCTTTATGATGAAAATCAATAAAAAGGAAGAGGATGCTCACTCATTCTCTCTGTTGAGTAACCCAAACTAACTTTAAATTATAAATATTTGTTCCATTGTTTAAAGTAAGACTGGAAAGACAGCCGGTCGGGGTCCAGTTGAAAGTGACCAGTGCTGCTGATTTACACCTCACCTTGCAAAAAGGCCGGTGTAACTTGCCTTTCTGTTTCCCTCTTCCCTGTTTAATTCCGTGAAAATTTTACTCAAGTGAGCCATCGGATACCATGTAGGTGAAAATACCAGTTATTTAGTTGATTTGTATTTTCATTGCTTATGGACTGCGATAATTTTTTACAAGAGACCTTCCTTTTTAAAAGTAATATCAGGTTATGATTTTGCTTAGGATCCTCAGCTGTCCAGAATGTCAGAACTTCAGGAGGCAGAACAGTTGCCAGCAGGACGGTGTGGAGCTTGGCAGCCCTCCCCCACCAGATGCCGAGGGCGAGGGCTGGCCGGCTCCGCTCTGCAGTCCACCCTGTCCTTTCATGTGCCACTTCTTCCATGTAGGCTGCGTTTGTGGTTTAATTCAGTGTTTGGGAAGATATTTTATTCTTGCCACAAGGGAGAAGGAAATAAAATGTGAAAACAGGATTCTTATTTTTAGGGTATTTTGAGCCAGGAATTTGGAAATTGCATTATTTTCCCTCCCTCCCTACTTCCCTCCCTGCCTTCCTTCCTGCCTCCCTCCCTCCCTGCCTTCCTTCCTTCCTTCTTCCTTCTTCCTTCTTCCTTCTTCCTTCCTCCCTCCCTTCCTATCTTGCTCTCTCCTTTTCTGCTTTTCGTGTTCCTGTCTTCCTTCTCATTTACACATTTACAGAAAAAGGAGCTAACATGTCCTAAACTCCTCCTATATATTAGGTGCTTCACATCCATTACATAATAAGGGACATTCACTGTGCATTGAATAATTTAAAAAGTAAATAAGCATGACAGAATGTCATAGAATGTTCCTGTGTCACTCTTTGAGGTTTCAGCTATGAAAGAGGTGCAGTAATTAAGACCAGAGGTGATAAAGCTGCGTCCTAATGTCAAAACAGGATCTGTCACAGATGGCAAAAAAGAAAGTGTGGGTCCTAGAATATGATTCCTCTAGGAATATTTGAGTGAGGTTAAAAATTGCATTTTAGATTTTAGTTGGAGAGGTAATAGCTTTGCTTTAAAATAAATTGTTCTGGCAAAAACTAATCTAAATAGTTCAACAGTGTGGTTACATTTTCAAAAGAATATTGATGGGAGGCGGGGAGAGCACGTGGGAGCCTTCTGTATCTTGAAATGTAACTGGATTGCCCTGGCCAGTTTGGCTCAGTGGTTAGTGTCTGCCCAAGGACTGAGGGGTCTTGGGTTTCATTCCTGGTCAAGGGCACATACCTGGGTTGCAGGTTCCATCCCAGCCCAGGTCAGGGTCGTGCAGGAGGCAACCAATCGATGTGTCTCTCTCACATCCATGTTTCTCTCTCCCTCCCTCCCTTCCTCTCTATCTAAAAAAAGTCAATGGATAAATATCCTCAGGTGAAGATTAACATGAAAAAAAGAAATGTAACTAGATCTGGGTAGTAGTTTAATGGGAGTATACATATATAAACACGTAATTATACATTGAAAATATATGCACTTCATTGTGTATAAGTTATACTTTACTAAAAACGAAAGATAAGAAAACTTTTCTAAATAGTACCTACAGTATAAACAACATGTATTCTTTCCTCCAGTATGGAAATCGCATACATTAAATATAGTAATTTTAACAAGTAAATATAATTTTAAACTTTTCATGACCATTTTTATTCAAAAATTAGACATCAAAAGTTAAAACTGATTTGGAAGTGCATATATATACTTATATATGTGTGTTTGTACACAAAGTAGACCCTTTTATAAACCTTAAACTGGAAAATAGTTCTCTTATTGACATTGATAATAGTTTATAAATATCTTCTCTGAAATGTGAGACGAGCTTGGGTAAGACAAACTCTTTTGGTGAAAACATGTAAGTGCACCTGTAAAACCTGACACGTAGTAATCAGAGACGCACTGAGCCACTGAGATCACAGGGAACTTAGACACATTTCACCAGATCGTGATGCTTCGAGGGTCACTCGGATAAGCCACTTGGTCAATGTCTCAGAAATAGTAATATCATTTTTCACATGAACTTTAAATAATAACTGTAATCAGAAAAGGGTAATGAGAAAATTAGGTAATGTATATATATATAATCTGATGTCAACCTCTTATTTTTGTTTACTTTAATCACAATTACATAGTTGGAGACAGTATCTTGCTTGAAAAACACAATTATACATACTTTTCTGATCATTTGCATTTTCTCCAAAACTTGGGCTGTATATTCAAACATAGTTGTTTTCACTCATTTAATAAATTTTCAGACATGGTTTTTCCTCACAGGTAGCACAACAGATGAATTTCCAGTTTTTTTTTTTTCCTCTGGACATTATCCAGCTCTTTATTTAAATGTAAATATTATGTGTTGGGGTTTCAGATTTTAGTAACCAGAGTCAGACTTGTCTCAATATTTTTGTGGTTCTATATCTTCTTAGCTTTACTTTTAGAACATAAACTTAATGAGGATAAAAAAGTATACTTATTTTCCAAGAGCAGTTTGCTGTTCCCTGTGGATTTTTAATGAGTGCCCATCGAGGGTAATGAAATGAATGTTAATATCTCAGTATCCATTTATTTTAATGCACACTCTAGGAAGACTATCCATGTAATTTTACTCCAAACCTGGTTAATTCACAGTTGACCCTCATTTTTACACAACTGAAATACCCAAGTAACTACATTTGTGTTTGAAGGTAATTGAAGTATTTCCCCTAGCTATTAGCAGCATTTACAGTGAGATTCCCTGGCCTTCAGATTAATTATTTTTACATATTATAACAACTTAAGGTTTCATGTACCAATGGTACTGAAATAAAAGACAAGGTAATGGAGATGAAGAAGGCTAGTGAAGAAGGGAACGTGAAGAAAAGACAGACACTGTCCGAGTCAGCCTGAGCTTATCAGTGTCTGCCGCCGCATGTTGTCTTGATTTTCCCTTCAGGTTTTTTTCATTTGTACATGAGTTTCTAAAAAATAATAATTAGCTTTATAGAGAGAGGTCATTATTTTATTTATTAATTGCCAATCACATTTCTTGTCATACTTTTATATCAGTATATTTTTGTTTTTTAGGATATTTTCATGTAGGTTTTTCCCACTGGTTTTCTTGTGCTCTCTAGATCCTCAGTGCCTGTGTATATTTTAGGTGTACATAAACCTTGGATTTGTACCAAAGTAATGTTTTCTGCTTGATTTCCAGTGCCCTCCTTAACGAGGTCTAGCTGTTTGGGGACTTTTGGTCACATTAGTGCATTTAGTTGATGTCTTCCTGATATGTCAGTGGTGGGATGCTTAAGAATAATGATATAGTGTTTATATTTATATTCTTTTTGTTGTTGTTTTTTTCAGTGTGTGCTGTATTTGTGGGCCTTGAAAATTCTTTACCCCAAAACACTGTTTTTACTCCGTGGAAATCATGAATGTAGACATCTAACAGAGTATTTCACATTTAAACAAGAATGTAAGTATATTTCAAGCCTCTTCCTTTAACACCATAAGTGATAAATAAGTTTAATCCATACCAAGAACACATTACAATATGCTCTATTGCATCAAAGTAAAAAAAAAAAAAAAATATTTTTAAACACATTATTTCATGTCATTCTATATTTCTTTCTAAGCATGGAGAGTTAAGGGAATTTAGAATTTCTTTTAAAATGACAAATTCTCTATAAAGTGATCAAAAACTTTGAATTAGTATTTGGTGTAATTTATCCTAAGAAAAAATAATTACGTTATTTTTTTTTAAATAGCCAGAATGATACTATCTGGGATAATCCTCCTACCCTTTAACTCGACTCACTCAAGAAAAGCAAACGGAAGGAGAGTCAACATTGGGCCCCTGTTTTTGGATGCAGCCCATTTACTAGCCTTAGTGGATTTTACAGAATTAAAGATAACTTCTTCCTTTAGACAGAAATGCTAGGAGGAAGAGTACTTCATATACATTTTATAAAGTCCTTCTTTCAATGTTCCCCACTGTCCAGTGAAACTTAAAACTGTCTGTCATTAGTCCCATGTTCAGTGAAGCACAGTGGCTTCTTTCGAAACAGCACATGCGAGCCAATAGGAGAGATGCAGTGTGCAGTGAATCAGAAACAGCTTGAGAGAATGTCTTGCCCTCTGTTTTTTTGTAAGATCATTTAGGCAAGCCAGCCACTTGATGGCCATCTTTCTCTTGGTCTCCTAGTTGTTTGTGTATAATTTTTTGAGATACATCTGCAGATAAATAGCAAGGATATATACAAGAGTTCTCTCCTCTGCTATATAAAAAGTTGCTAAAAACTGAAAAGTAGGATGAACAACATCAATAAAGTAGATAGAAAGGTCAGCATATAACTCTTTCAAGTCTTATTTAATCATGTATTGGAACTTGGCAGTGTGCAGTTTATTCGCTAATAATACGATTCTGGCCAGAAAACATTAAAAAAAAAAAAAACTTGTTTCAAAGACATGATTCTAACTATGAAATCACGAGTCAATATTCTTTAAAATCGTGTTTTGAAAGGTAAAATAAAGTATTCAGAACGCGTGTATGACGCCTGTATGGACGCCTTCGACTGCCTGCCCCTGGCTGCCCTGATGAACCAGCAGTTCCTGTGTGTACACGGCGGTCTGTCTCCAGAGATTAACACTTTAGATGACATCAGAAAAGTAAGTTCTGTTATTTTCCAAGTCTAATCATTCTGTGTGCTTCCGTAATAAAGAGAAGACATTGATTCCCTTGCCTTTATCACAAACTTTTTCCTTTTGAACTAAAATGTTTTAAAGTGGTTATGAATCTCTTTCTTGTATTAATTATTTTTCTAGAAAGAAAAATAATCTCTACTTGAAAGAGTTTTCATCTTTAAAACCTCATCTTACCATTTGACATGTGTCATTAGAAATGTAAAATATTTGATTCCTAAAAAAAATTCACCTTTTCATTTCTTTTTGGTTTGCTTCTAACAGAACCCAATGTGTATTCATGGTATATTATCGTTAGAAAATGTTGCTTTGGTCTTGGGAAAGTATCACAACTTGACCTTTAAACTCTGTCCATATTATTATTTTTAAAAATCTATCTGTTACAGCTTAAAACTTTAAAGTAACAAAGGCAATGAGAATATTCTATTGAGTGTCTAGGTAAAAAACAGTCGATTTGTTTAAAGAGGCATTTTCTACTTAATTTAACATTGGCTGTTCCTGTTGTTTTAGCCAATAGAAAGGTAAGTTAGATTAAGTGGAAGTATGTTTCATACAGTGGATAGTTCTTTGTAGTGGAAGAGGCAATCTTTTATTTCTTTGATTATGCTCAATCAAGATTCTTTTAAAAGTGTATGGGTTTTAATGAAAGCTATTTAGGGAAGTTAAAACATTCAAATTCTACCTTAACACTCTTCCATTAAGATCCAAGTCTTAAAGTGTAAAAATAACATTATATTTACTTTTCTATTAGAAAGAAAATTCCGATTTTTGTTTTTAAAATCAAATGAAGGTACATTAAATAAACCCTGGTTTTCCGCTCTGCTTCTGGTGTCCTGTAGCACACAGGGCATCGATATTTGCTCTATGTTTAATGTGCAGTGGAGACAGAACACCGCAGTGTGCTCATGGAGTTCAAGTATAGAGTGGCTCACTTTCTGCATGAATGTAACCAATTCATTCTTCTGTAATCTGATGGACCTTGAAATAACTAAACTTCTCATAAATTAAGTAGACTTTTATTTTTTAATTAGATAATTTCTTTTTGATACAGATGTTTCTCCTTTTTCCACCATTGACACCCTCCTCCCGATCCCTCCACCCCCACCCCGTCCCCATCATTGTTGTCTGTGTTCATGGTTATGCATACATGCATGTGAGTTCTGTGGTTTATCTCTTTATTCCCTGCCAACCCCCTCTTTTGAGGTTTGTCAGTCTGTATCCTACTTCTATGTCTCTGAGTCTATTTTGTTCATCAGCTTGTTTTGCTCATTATATTCCACAAATAAGTGAGATCATGTGATATTTGTCTTTCTCTGCTTGGCTTGTTTTTGCTTAGGATAATGTTCTCCAGGTCCCTCCATGTCATCTCAAAGGATAAGAAACATCTCTTAAGTGGACTTTTAAAATATCACCTACTTTCCCCAGGACTGGCATGATTCAGTTATTATGTTCAATTTTCATGTTTGTCAGTAAGCTCTAGACTTAGCCATAACCTGATTTTGAGGTTTACATTTTGCCATGTGTCAGTCAGAGTTCCCACCACACTTACTTTATTTAACAAAAATCTTCTTTGTTTATTCTTACTGTAGATAGTATTCATTTTAGAAAGCACTGTGTAACTTTTCCAGAAGGAGGTCTGTATTCTGGTTGTCTTACCGAACCTTCAGCTGGGGGTTCGCATTGACCAGAAAGCCTCCCCTCTTCTGCTGTTCTACCCATAATAATAAGTTCTTGTTTCTCAGAAAGAAATTTTGTATTTTTATGGACAAGTATTATTTTTCTAGGATGAATTGTTCCAAAAGCATACATTATTTAAATCTCTTAAACAAGTCTAAGTTTGCAATGCATATTTTATGGGTAACATAATGGCTGAAATATAGAGGGTCTTGTCTTGGAGTTTTTCATTGGGTGTTGAAAAGGTGAAATATTGCTTCATTCTTTTTAGATATTAGTAAAAAATGGTGTGTAGCAAAACCATGATTTACATCACTTTTTATGTCTCAGGAAAAAAAGATAATTCGATTGGCTGTCAGTCATCCTTGTATTTTCACCTCTCCATCTATCCCTATGGTTTTTTGTTTTGTTTTTTAATGTTAAAGTATTGACTGTCAATCTTTAATGGGTTTTCATAGCTGTTTTATGCATTTCTTTTCAAGAGACTATATCTGCTAACTTTTTAAAGATCTTTTCATTGCAGTTAAATCAGGATAAACTAAAGGAAAGTGACAGTGTTATAAAATGCTTGGTGAAATGCCATTTGCAGTTGTATTACTCTAAGTGCACCTTTTAAAACTGAAATATGACTTTGCTAAACATTTATAGCTGGAAAATGAATTTCATATGAAGGGCTTCAGGTATAACTATGAAGCTTAGAACTGTGAGCTGAGGAATAACCAGCTAAGTTTGGGTTTATTTTACTGCTGATCATTACTTTTGGTTTGTAACCAGTAAGATAAACTAGAACAGGCTTGTATTTTAATTAAACACCTAGGTAGCCCCTAATGCATGAGCATCCAAAATGTCATAGAGCAAGTGCTGCTCTTAAAATGAAAGCCATCTGTTCTCAAAGTCATATTGTTCAATATAAACACCATAAGTGGTTCTCATCCAGATTTCTAAATCACAGTTTAATGGAAGTAGTAGTAGAAAGTTCCCCAAAGATAAAATAAAATAAAAGCTCTTCCTCAAGAAATGAAACACAGATAGAGTCACATCAACAATAGTGACTAAAACATTTGGATAGATAAAATAAGTTAGGAAAAAAGAGAAATATAATAGGGAGAATAGGAGAAAGGAAAAAAAAAGAGTAAAGATTTAAGAGTTAAAGAGGCAGGGGGAAGTAAAGGAGGAGATGAAGGCAATAATAAATGAGCTCATCAGGAAGAAGAAGGAAGGACAACTGGAGAGAGAGAGGAAACAGAATAGGGAGAAACCAAGGAGGAAGGGGAGTTGACAAGAAGAGGGAGAGGCAGAGAAGGCAGTTCAGCTGCTCTGTGCGTGGGGAGAGGAAGTTGGATATTGCAAAATTCTGGTCTCTTCTATTTTCTGAATTCCAAATTTCCAATGATTAGTATTTTGCTTCTGTCTTCTATTTTTCTTAGTTAGACCGATTCAAAGAACCACCTGCTTATGGACCTATGTGCGACATCCTGTGGTCAGACCCCCTGGAGGACTTTGGCAATGAGAAGACTCAGGAACACTTCACTCACAACACAGTCAGGGGCTGTTCGTACTTCTACAGGTGAGGAGGGAGCGCCCGCCTTCCGGAGCACGTTGGGTGCATAAATTCTGTCCTTTATTAGTACACGTGTTTGATGTATTTACGATGTTTGCGTAACTTCTTTAGGAAACAAGTATAAATGAAAGGTTCACTTCAAAAGCCTGGTTCAAATGAGTTCTTAGCACTTGCACAATGAAAATATAAATAAGTATATAACAAAAATATATCTATATAAATACATAGATAGGATATCTGTGAAGAATAGAAAAGGCATCAAAGAGGCATGTGGTACCAGGGTAGCAAAGTAGCTGAAGAAGATAGTAAGGAAGATTTAGTAGAAAATTTGTTTTGTTTCAAGAACTGTAGGAAAAATATCCAATGCCAGCCTTGACTTTTTTTCATTCAATTATGTAATAACTTTAAAAAAATGTATTTCTTTTTATAAATCAAGAAAACAATTTTAAATTGCTTAATTCAATGATATTCAAGTTATTTTTAAATTTTCTTAACTTTATCAGACTTTCAGGATAAATTAACATTAGCAGCAACATAGTATATAGGTAGTGTAAGTAAATTTATTGTTAGCATGTTGACAAGGCACATTGAAAAAAATTTTATAGTAATTTTTACATTTTTATATTTGCCAATGTGTGGATATTTGCCTGTTCCATAATATTTTCAGCGCAGATGTCAACAACACAGTTGGGTTTTTGCCTGTCTTCACGATTTTCCTGACATCTCATGTCAATGTCAGCCGACTACATTTGATGACACTCAGTTTCACGAGGTGCCCTTATCATCAGACCTCCAGTTTATGTGAAGGGGGGAAAGAGGTCACGGAGTTCAGAATTTTAAATTCTAAAATGCATAGTCTTAAAAAAAAAATCCTTCTGATGGTCACTGAAATTTATGCTCAATTCCAGCCCTGGCACCTAAGCAAATGCAAGGCAGGGAGGATTCTGCCTGTGTATTGAGCCATCTACCTTCTGTCTCAAGAGTAAGCAGATATCCTTCTGCATTACATTGATCAGAATTTATTCAATGGTAGAGCAGTGTGTTCCATACGTTCAGTTTTCCTTGGGGGGAAATAGTTTTTTTTATTCATCTGTTGATGTGATTGGGAATTGAAGTTTGTGAACAGAGAGTCTTGAATACTGTAAAGCATCTACCAAAAAAAGTTTTTGTTAGAAATATTAATAGAGGGATTTGTTCCAAGCTCATTTATCAGAAAGCTTACAATTCATTTCTTTGTTTTGGAAATTTGGGCATCAAGTCTAATGAGTCTATTTTGGTTCATGGTGTAGTGTTTCTGAGAAGCCTAAGGTTTCTTTTCAGTAATTAGTTAATTTGGGAGTAATCTTTTATTAAAGATGTCCAAGCTTTTTGGTGAAAAGTTCAGTATTATTGAAATGTATCAAAGCCAAGTGTTCAATTTTTCAGATCTGGTGTTGAATCCCTAAGTATACCATGAGGATTTATATTACCTATTTGATATCACTGAGCTGTGCTTCAATAATATAATATCAAACAAAATCTAAGCCTCTTGATGTTGATATTAAGGCATATTGCACTAATATTTCTTTCATAGTATAACCTCTTTTGTTAGCTTTCTGAGTCAGCTTTTCAAATAAATCAGACTCTAAATAAAGTCTTGTACAGAACTTACATAAAGTGATGATATTTTTGTTTTGTGGATACAGACACAAGAGTATTTACATCAGAGATACAGGCCATCAACTAGATAGAGGATTATGCATGTTTTCACACTTTTGTTCTCAACAAAATGATTCTTTAATTCCTCTCTTTAGAGGCTGTTAATAGCTTTTTAGTCATGAAAAATGCTGAGTATATGAATTCATAGCCTATAGACTGACTAATGGCAAAGCCGTCTGGATTATGCTTTCTCTGAGGAAGAGAAAAATGACTGTTATTTTCCCAGAGCTTGTTGATCCTTTTGGTTTTAGTGCCATCATGAAGGTATCAAGGAATCCTTTGTAGTCTTGGTTTATGAAGCTGACCTAGAGGAACAACGGAACAAAAAAATTGATAGAGAGACTTGGTGACAATTACCTGTCTGAGTTATTGGCCCTGATTTCGATCCACAACTCCTGATTATATTTTACATGTTTATATTAAATTTGCATCATTATTTTGCCATGCCACCCTATTTATGACCTATCACTTAGCCTGGGCCATGATTTAAATAAAGTTATACAGAAAATTACATTGGTAGAATTTATTAATGCTGTTCATGAGTTATAGAAAATAGGCAATGTGACAGAGAGGAAGAATGCATGAAAACATTATATTTGCCCAAGGGCTACTATTACCCTTATAACCTTAGACCAGAGTTTGCGTATTCAAATGCCTAAAATTTCAAGGCAGGTAATTGAGAGCCTTGAAGCAGGCCAAGTATTAGGTTGTAAAGATTAATGAGGATCGCGACAAATTAGAGGTAACATTTTCATTGTCATGTAGTCCAAACAATAGTGTCAGCTGGATTAGGTGCTTGGTTGTCAGTTTGTATGTCTGCCTTGGATACATCACATAAGCTTTGTGTTCTAGGTTTAGCTGGCTTCAAAAGGAGTTAAATCAGACATCTACAGTTCTGAGATTTGAAGAGCATCTTAACAGTCATTTTAAAAGTGTTTTTGAAGTTGCAAATTACAGCTCACTCACATAACTACTGGGCTCCTCGTCACAGATGGGCGGCCTTGAACTTCTCTGCAGTTGGCACTCTGCCAACCCTTCCACCTTGAAGTCCTGGGTTCCTCCTTCCTCACAAATCCTGGCTCTCCCTACCTTATCAAGCAGATCCTTGCCTCTTTCTTCGTCTTCCTCCTGCTTTTGACATTGTTTTCTTCACATGTTCCCCTGAACCTCACTATTTCCATAGGTTCACTGTAAACTATAACCACCATGGTTTGACCACAAAATCCATGTCTAGACCCTTCATCTTTCCTGAGCTCGAATTCTCTATGTCTAGTTGTCTGCTGGAATTTTGTACCTAAGATATTCCATTGTCAACTTAACCTAAACTCACGTTGCCTGGAAAAGCTGATATACTTTTCCACTTGCTTAATCCCCACTAGAGAGCCGCCCTGGGTTTGTGTGTGTGTTTCATTCTTCTAGTCATGTAGACTAGCAAACATCTCTCCTTTTTCTTCTTACATTGAAATCACCACCAGTCATCACATCTTCTCGACCCTTTTTGTAATGTCACCAGCATCTGCCTTCCCTCCCTCCCACTCTGGTTTCAAAAACCTTCATTTTCAGTCTGTTGAAATCACATCTGATTGTACAACATCCTCACCCCCTCCCCTCAACTCATACTGTGCCACTCATGGGTATCTTTTGAGAATTCATTCACTTATTCAGTTATTTAACAAACATTACCCAAGCACATACTATATTTATGCCTTCTGTCAGATTTTGTAAATGCTGAGAATCTCTATCTTCAAGGGAGTAACAGTCTAGTGCCAGAGATTTGTAAGTAGAAATTGACAAGGAAAATGCAAGATGGGTTAGTGCTGTAATAAATATTACACACACTCACACACACACACACACACAATCTGGGGACCTACCCAAACAGGGATGGATATGGTTTTAAGGGTCTACTCATGGTGGATGGAAGTGCTGTTAAACTTAAATTGTAAAGGATGAGTAGAACATATTCAACCAGAGATAATATGGAAGGAAATTAGGCTCTTACATGCTGAGAAAGTGGTGTTCATGAAAATTTGAGGGGAGATCTCACTGGGAATTCTAGAAAGATGACCACCTGAATGTTTTCACATTTTCTCGAATCCCAAATTACAGTTAGCAGGTTCAGTATACACTAAAGTTAAATATTCATATAACCTATTCTACTCTTGTTTCATTATCCACTGGGAACATGTACATATGTGTACCAAAATACCAGATCGTTCATAGCAGCAGTATTCGCAATTGCCCCAAACTGGGAACAACCCAAATGCCCATTTAGTAGAATGAATGATTAATTGTAGTATATTTAAATAACTAAATACAGCAAGTGAGAATGAGTTAGAACTGCACATCACAGCGTGGATGAATGTCAGTACAGTGATGAGTGGACGGAGGCAGATACTACAGAGTGCATACAGGATGACCCCACTGAAATAAGAGTTCAAGGTTAGAGAAGCTAATCTGTAATGTTAAAAGCCAGGATGGTGGTTACCCTGAGTGAGGAGGTGATGGTGACTCAGAGGAAATACGAAGAGTCACTGGGGTTCAGGAAACCTTCTGTGTCTTGATCTGAGCACTAGTTGCAAAGGTGTTCACTTTGGAAAGGTCACCGATTTGTAATCTGATGTGTGCAGTTTTCTCCATAGATGTTACACTTCATTGAAAAGTTTGCCTGAAGTAAAAAATTACTCACCACCCTTGAGGCAGCTGGCAGCCAGGTGCAAGTGAGGACTCAGGCTCTGGTGAAGCTCTGGCAGGAGCCGTTGGAGCCCTTCCAGGCTTGATCCCTAGTGGGTAAAATGAAATTAGTTGGAGAACCCTGGGGCAAAGAAAATAACATTGCCAGTCCTAGGAAAAGATCAGCCTAACAGTATCTAGGCAACGCCAGGACACCTGAGTTCCCATTGCCAGGCCCCAGGAGGTGGAGGAGGAGCTGGACAGTTGGGCAGAGTCCCCTGTACTCCCGGGCTGGACAGCAGAGGGCAGAGGCTTCCTCCCGGTCTCTTGACCAGGGATGGCAAGCTGCCTGCTTCTGCTTTGCTGGAGCAGATGAGGGAAAGAAACTTTGTTTCTCTCGCCTGCTTAACTGCCTCTGTTGGGGCTACTCCAGAAATTAACTGTGAGCTCCAGTTAGCAGGCAAAGGACTGCTAAGCAACTAGCATATGAAGACACAACTGTCTGTCTCTGAAGGCATTCACTGTTGCTGGAGACCAGATGTATACACGCAAATTACACTACACTGTGGCAGGTGATGTATTGCTTTCATATGTTCTGGAAACATGGTGGATACAGCAGTTTTGTACACCTCAGGGTAAGGTAGGTTTGAAGGGAAGGGTTCACAAGTGATCGTTTAGCTAAGACTTGACAAAACAGTAGACCACTCCAGAAGAAAAAAAATACTCAGGGAAAGTAAGGGCATAAAAGCATAAAAGAGGCATTTAATAATGCCTGCTGACTATATCGTGGTTAAAGGGCCTGAAATCTGGGAGATTGAAATCAGAGTCTCATATAATTTCATATTGCAAGAAACAAAAATAAGAGGATCAACAGAATGCATCTAATCATAGCTATTTTCTCTAGTGCCACGCCACTTTTTCTACCATGTCTCACGTTTGTGTCTTTCCACCCTCTTCATCTGTTCATGCTCGGTCTGCTTCCTGTCCCTCTCCCTCTCTTGGTGGTATTCTAACCACTTCCTGTCTAGTAATCCCTGTACATCATCTCCTTGAAGATCTAACACACATTGCAACTGATACATTTAACAGCTACTGGTAGAACCTGGGGTTGCTGACTCAGCGTTCTGTGCTGCATTCTTTCTTCCATACCATGGTGGTGGGGAGAAAGGTACCAGTTGTGAAAAGTACTGCTATGAATCAGGCACTGGACTAGGAAACCTACATCTATTGCTAACTCATCTTATCTTTATCTCAAGTCTATGAAATAAATGATACTATCTGTATTTTTACAAATGAGGGGATTTATTTGTATCAGGTTAAGCAAAGAAATTTAACTATTTTCCAAAGTTTACACAGGAAATAGGAATATGAACCCAGATTTAAGTATCCCCACTATTCCATGGAAATTTTCACCTCCCTTTCTACCCAGAGAAGATGCATTCTCTAGTGCTTAAGGAATAATTATCCAATAAAAAACAACTTTTTCAGAGAAGATAACTTCTTCCCCAAACAGCGGCGATGCTGGTACATGAATATCACAAAGCTGAGAGCATTGTTGGCTTCTCCAGTCCTTGGAGCGCGTCTGGTTTAACACGTTTCCGCCACCGGGTTAGACAGAATCACTCCAGGTGCCTCACGCAGACAGACTGCCTGACAAGGGTGCCTGTGGTGGGTGTGAGTGGGGCTGAGATCCAGCCAACCCTCTGCTCAGAAGGCTGTGGGCCTGGGCTTGGGCTGATCGGTCTGGAGGAAGAGGGGCTCTCTCCCCTTGGTGGGCACAGATCATGGAAACCTCGCCTTATCAATGCAAAGAAAAGGAAGATCTGCCATGAGATAGGTATTTTTCAAAAAGGTTTCCTCAGACCCATGTGCTTTCTTATCTTGCTTTATTGTGTCTCAAAACTTATACTGTTTTATCTTAAATTTATTTCATTCTTAAGTAGGTTTTTTAATTTATACAAATGTTTATCTTCCTACCTAGATTATACATACCATCAATACAGAAACCACACCTTACACTTCTCATACCACCCATCCCTGTGCATAATATAATCTCCTAACAAATGGAACAGATTTACCAGTGAGCCTTTGATAAATTTGAATAAGTGATTTCCAACTCTCTCTATAGTGGTAAGGTGTTATGAACTCTGCTTTTTCTACCATTCTACATATTTTTTTAATGCTCACCCAAGGATATGTTTATTGATTTTTTTTTTTTTAGAGAGAGAGGGAAACATTGATCGGTTGCCTACTGTACATGGCCCAACCAGGATCAAACCCACAACCTTCTGGTGTGTGGATGATGCTCCAACCAGCTGAGCGACTGGCCAGGGCAACATCTTTTTCTAGTGCTTTTCAGTTTGAACCCTTTTTGGTTTTCATCATTTCCATTAAAAAACATAAAAATATTGGAAAGTGTATTTTCCTAATATTATTGAAAACTTGAATGTATTCAAGGCAGGTAGCTTACCAATAATGAGAATCTAGCTGATAGTCAAAGTATTTATTTTGAAAAATATTTTTAATTCTTAGCAAGTTTGGGTATTTGCTTGCATGTGCTTTTAAACTTTTAAGATTTTCTTCAGAACATTTTTTCTGAGGAATAATGCAAGTGTTCCTCACTTAATGCTAGTAGCCTAGCAGGATGCTGTAGGGAATTTCATTTTGTTCACATTTCCCTTAGAAATCAGGTATGTATTTCCAATTTCATTTTGTTCACATTTCCCTTAGAAATCAGGTATGTATTTCCATGGAAGAGAACTTAGCTCAGACATAAAAGTATCAAACATAGCATGAAGAACATTTATTAAAATCACGTTTTCAAAAGACTAGTGTAAGTTCTTCCAAAAGGAAAAATAAAATAAAGAGTAGCCAAGCCATTTTCCCAAGGACAGAAAAGTTACCAACCCAGACAGACAACCTCTGTCTTACAGTGTAACAACAGGGCCATAAACTGTTTTTAAAAGAAGCATTATGCGGGCACAAGAAACATAAGTAAACAGTGTGAAGAGAAAGGGTAGGAACATTTCGAATATTCTGCAATGCACATCTGTGTGTACAGACACACACACAAACATGTGCACATGCAAAATACTATTTTTTATTTCAGATCCCACTTTTACCAAAGAATTGAACCTTTTTATAATCAGTATTTCTACAATGGTATGCCATCTTAATGGTATTTTCTTTCCTATTGTTCAGCAAATTCTTACAAAATCTGTAGCATAGAAACTCTTTTCAACTTTTCTTTTATGATAAATTACTTAAGAGATATATGCTAAGTATTTTTACAAAGTGCTATGTTTATGGTTGCCGAACTGTCTTCTGTAGCATATATATGTAGTTCAGGTCCGTGGATATCTGCAGTTTGTTTATATTAAAAGGAGCGTGGGTTTGCTGTCCCTTGATTTGAAATCTCTAAAATGTATTCATTTTTATAGCGTACATTTATCTCACTCAAAACCCTTAAAACAGAGACAAAGTGATTGCAAAGGGTTTTCAGGTTTAGTTTGTAATTTGAATTTCATTTTGAATGACGTTCTCATCTTTAGTTCTTAGAGACTTTCTTCATAGGCAATATTGCCTTGATTGGATTTTGATATTTTTATTAAGTCAAAATAAAGAATAAGATTTGAGATACAGTTCTGTTGATCGTTTGTAAGGTACACAGTTTAAAACCTTGTGAATTCCATAATTCTGTGTAGATATTGAGTGATGGAGTGAGTCAGTTAATCACCATACATAAGTTGGTAGCTCGATTTCCCCGAAGACTTCCTCTCCCTCACTCCCTGACTCAGGCACACACATCCCCCACAAATACAAATAGGGCTGTATTTGAGAAAATTGAGGTTTATATTTTCAATTCTGTCCTCATGTTATATTTATGGTTCTGTTCACTTTGTGTTCAAAGGTGGAGTTGATAATATTGATTTTCTCTCCGAGCGGACACTTTTCTAGTGTTGTTATATTACAGCCTGCATTCTTTTTCTAATTCATACACCTGCAGCCCTTTCCGATTATGTGCAAAGCACAGCTGTGGGTGCTCTGTCTGCCACAGGGGAGGGCCTGTCCTTCGAGAGCCAGGGGGCTTGTGTCATGAAGGATACATGTTTGATGTGCTGGATCAAATCACATAGGTCTGATGTCACAGGTGGATTTGCTCCCTTTGATGATTTCATAACCAATGCTTCTCTTTTCTTTTTGTCCCTGGCAGTTACCCGGCTGTTTGTGAATTCTTACAACACAATAACTTGTTATCTATACTCCGAGCCCACGAAGCCCAGGATGCCGGGTGAGCAGTTGTGTGGGTTTATGAAAACCACGCACTCATTGTCCCTTTGTCACAGCTCTCTGTCTGCTCAGGCTGTGGGGTTCCCTTGGCCAGGCCCTTTCGCTGCAGGAATTCAACCTTAAAAGTGTCTTCCGATGACACCGATAGGCAGGGTCCTGGGAAATAAGTGGCTGCAGGTATATTGTGAAGTCCCCTTTAAAGCTCTTCCATTTTTAGCTTGAACAGGTAAAAATGTCAGCGGGCTTTCTTAATCACTGTAAGGGTACTTCCTCTTATTCCAGTGCCTGCCCTTAACCTCTGTCCTGGAAATGTGTAAATTACCAGTCTTGCTTGGCAAAGTGAATGAGAATTACACATAAATATTTAACAGATATCGCATGTTGTACTCTTAAAGACCATCATTCCTGATCCCTGTAGAGTTTTAAGGGACAAAAACAAAAACAAAACAAAAATGAAACATTTAAATAATGGGGAAAGTCTTATGTTCTAACTAATAAATGGTTAATTAACATGATTTTATAATATCTGGTAAATTTTAAAATGCAGCCAATCTTAAGGGTTTAGAAAACTAAGAAATATCAGATATTCACTTTGATGGTGATTAAATCTGCATTAGGGAGAAATAGGTATAATTAATTTTAGGATTGGGAGTCCAGTACCCTTCCAAGTAGGCTCCACTGAAAAGCAGTGTTTACCTTCAAATGCTTAAACTCACCCCTCGGGTTCTGAATTTTCCGAAATGTCAGAGCAGTTATTTTTATAACCTGGGTGCTAAAAGTGGGAATGTAGAAGCCTGCAATGTCTGTGATGATCCCGAATCAAGGCAGACCCTAAATTCCTTTCAAAATTCGCTTTTTTCAAGCAATCAATCCACAGGTATAAATTGATCCCATACTAGGTGCTCACTGCTGTTATCGCTGATGTTGGAAGTGACCCGTGGGTATACCCCACCAAGCCTCAAATAACCGGTTTTTTCTCTTCTGGGCAGTGGTGTCACCATGCTTTTTTGGCTGCCTGTCCCAACTGTGCACTTGAGGCAGACTTATCTTAATCCCACAGTGAACCTGAAATCATCTACTTATTTGAAATAGGTTAAGTGCATCAATTAAAACCAACATCTCTGTTTAGAAACGAGCAGGTGATTGAGTCATTGGAGAAAACAGGTTGTGTCATCCAGTTTCTCTGTTTTTATCTGTTGTCAAAAGGGCATAGCCGGCCATGGTTTATAAAGTCAAAGCACTAGGATTAAGAATGGTACTATCTTTCACTTTCTAGTTTTTCCCCCAACAAAGTTTAGTCCCATAAGCAGAATAAATATTTCTAGAATGTAAACCAAATGTAATTTTAGACTGTAATAAAGAATAATAAGCCCTTATTTGAACAATAGGCACTGCAGCCAGGAGACACAGATTTGGTGAGCCACCTCAACTGTGTCCCACCGAGACCGGAAAAGTTGCTGCCTGGGTTCCCAGTTAGGTCCGTTCTGTGGAAATGAGGCGTCCAAACTGTGCAGTGCTGGTTGATGTGGCAGATCTGAGCCCTTGGTGAGGAAGAAGCCAGGGTTTCCCTGCAGGAGGTGACTGAGACAGCTGAACCAGCAGGGTGTAGGACAGGAAGCCAAGAATTCCATGCGAGGTTCTTCCCCGTGGACGTGAGAAGTCCCTGTCAGCAGATGACCACTGGGATCTCACTATTCCTAAATCAGTCTATAAATCCCTTCTCAGTGTTCACATCAAATACATGAATCTTCTCAGGGGCCACAAAGAACATTTCAAAAGATTTTTAAGGAGAGCGTTTCTTCTGGGAAAAAATAGTATCCAAAATATTATAAAGTTATAAATTTTAAGGTGGCTATTTATCTGTCTACAGATACCATTTAGCACCTCTGGAGCCCAGCTAAAGTAGGCATGCCAGAAATAACTGACACAGAATACCCAAGGACTGATACAGTTTTGTTATGTGCTATAATAGGAATGTTTCTAAACGGATATTCCTGAAATCTGTTGCATAGAGTCATGAAATACATCCTCACCTTGGTGGGAAAGAGCCAGTCTCCTGTATCTTTTGATTCTTCGAGGACTCGAGTTCTATTTTTGTCTTAGTAGAAGAAGAGAAACTGGATTGTTGGTTTATTTCCAAAGATCTCACATATGTTCTGTTTCATTACTAATAGATTAACTATCACCTGCTGAAACAATAATTTTTGGTCTGCAGACACCATACGAAATTGGTAATAAATAAATTCTAATGTAGCAACAATGTGAGTTCATAAAACCCATAGATTTAACCAAGCTTTCTTTGAAAAGCAAATCACTTAGTCTAGACAAAAAGGGGAAACATAACTGTAACAGATAACTGTAAATAAATAAAATAATCAGCCTGGTTATTAATGGGAAAGAGTTATATTTTGCTTATTGAGTCTTTTTATGCCAACAATATTGGCAGGTTTGTGAAAAACGTGGTAGGTAGAGGCAAAAAGTAGCTTCTGTCTTCTCTGTTGACCACGTGGAAATGAATTTTCACCGATTCCACCCTCATTGGGTCCGCTAGACTTGGGAAGAAGTTATTTGGAAATTTTACATATGAGTGTATGTTTTCATTCTCATATCTGAAATAAACTGTGCTGCTGTATAACAGACTTCGGAGAGAGAATATTGTTTAATGTTATCTAATCAATTTCTCTTTGAATGATAAAACTATATTTTAATTTTGTGTTTCTAAATTGATTATTTGATACCATCATTTCCCTGCTGGCCTTGCTCTAATTTGTATTCATTGTTTTCAGGTATCGCATGTACAGGAAAAGCCAAACAACAGGCTTCCCTTCTCTAATTACGATTTTCTCAGCACCAAATTACTTAGATGTGTACAATAACAAAGGTAAGTGGTTTTGAATCCCTCTTGTGTTCTTCTATAATATGTGTAATGATCCTTAAGCTTTTTTATTTTGGTTTTAGTAAAGCATTTTAACAATTTTTTTTCTTTATTTTCATTTATTGTTTGATAACAAATGTTGTATCTCCAGAGGTAAAGATTCAATTGGTCAGAGATGGGACCCAGATGCTGTTACTTTTTAACTGTTCTCCGGGTGCTTCTGATGTGTAGCAGGACCAGCTACTGCCCTGGCAGATTATAGGCTTCATCCATTCATTCATTCATTCTTTATTGGTGTTAGAGAGAGAGAGGAAGGGAGAGGGAGAGAGAGATGGAAACATCGATGAGAGAGAACATCGATCGGCTGCCTCCTGCATGCCCCCCACTGGGGACTGGGCCCACAACCTGGGCATGTGTCCTGACTGGGAATCCAACCAGCGACCTCTTGGTGCCTGGGTCGACACTCAACCACTGAGCCACACTGGCTGGGCAGATTATAGGCTTTAAAATAAATTATAATTGGGTAATCCAAAATAATGTCCCTTAAGAAGAATGTGGATTTAAATAAGATGGTGTGATTGTGCATGTAAAGAAATCAAGAAAAATAAACATAAGTAACCTATAGCTTCAAATTTAGATTCAAATTTTATGTATTGAGAACTTACCTTGAGTCAGATCTTATGCTAGAAAAGTAAATATTTATTCTTTTAAAATTGTATTAAACTTCAAAGTAGATATTACTAGCCCCCAACTCCTTTTATTGTGCCCAGTGAGTCTCCGGTTAATTGCCTTGCCCAGGGTCACTCAGGCGGTGATGACCTGGGCTCAAACCCAGGTGTTCTGGTTTGGCATTCTGCACTTCTTTTCTGAAGCTCCACACCTATGTGCCTGAGAGAGCCCAGAAACAAGAGGGCATTCTTTACTGACTTCGGGGAAGGAAGGAAGAACAAGGGACACATTATCTTCTTTCATTAAGATAATTTCTTTATTCAGAAATGATGAGAAGTGTTGTAGGTGTGGCAGAATAGGTGATAAAATGTGGAAAGCCAGTAACCGGTTGGCACTGGTCTGGATACTGCCTGGGCAGCGTGTCTGAGGGTAGCTTTCTGAGATTGAGAAAAATGGAAACAGAAAAAGAAAAAGCAATCAAATAACATTTGTGAGGTGAGGTCCAGCCCAGGAGAGGCGGGAAAGGCAGCCTCATTTCTGAGCCAGGGTGAACTCCTGGAAGGAGGAGCATTCCCATGCCCGAGTTGTGACCTGTGCTTCCTGTCACAGGCTGGAGTCCAGATGCCTGCGGCTGGCCTGGGCCACCTTTATAACCAAACGCCTATTCTGGGTCCTCAGCCCTAATGAATAGGTAGTTGTCTTTGTTTTTGTCTTGTAGTTCACGTTCCCTGTGGGAAGCAGGCCTCCCTTTTTGACTGTGCCCTGATTTCCTGCTTAGCAGTTCTCACCTGCTCCTGCTCAGGGCTGGACCTTGACCCACACCTTCTGGGTCTCTCAGGGACCCTGCTCCGAAAGGCAAGCCTCATGTAATCACAGTGCTACCACGTATCATCCAGAGCGTGACTCTCCCCCTCCCCCGTCACCTGCAGAGTTTGTCGGCCGGAGTCTGTGGCAGCCTGTCCCTCTCTTACACGGCTGTGGTGACTGAGGCAGGCCCCCCTCTGCGGCCATGGAGCACGATACCAGTAGGCACCACGCAGTTCCCGTCACAACCGTGGATGCCGGGGGCAAGGGACAGTTGTCCTTTTCTAGTTGCCTGGTTCCTAAAGCGGAGATGCTGCCCTCAGGGCTGTGAGGCCAGAAGCATGGGAAGTGAGAGAAAACATGTCCTCAGCACGCCAAGGGCTCATCAGCCGGTTGACAAAGCAAGGCATTTGGGCGATCAAATAAAAATATAAGACACAATTAGATTAAGTATAAAGTAAGAGAGCCAAGTACATTCGACAAGGGTAATTTTTCTAGAATGGTCAGAAAAGACCTCGTTTAAGGTAAAATGCGATCTGTGTTATAAAACAGAGTTTGTCCACCCCATGCTAGTGGAGCCAAACACTGGACACAGAGTAGTGGTGGAGAAAGATTGGCTATTTTATTGATGAATGGCGCCTTCCAGGGGACCTCTAATGTTCTAGGGACCTGACTCCCCTGTGGCTTGTAGGTTATAGATTACAGAGGACAAAATCACAATGCACCCTGGGTTGGGAGTTTGGGGTTATGCTGGGAGGTGGTTGGTTGGAGGTGAGGAAAGGGTAATAAATTATTTCTTCAGGTTTTGAGGACAGTTCTGAGATCTTTTCTGGTGTCCATCAGTCCAGACTCATGAAAGTAGCCAGGGGGTTGTTCCATCTTTGGGCTCAGAAACTGGAACATAACTCAGGTCGAAATGTTATCTTTAGCCTGCCAGCGGTCCAGACCGTGTGACCATTGGTCAGGTCCTGGCTATGATCTTCCTCGGGGTTGTTGATTATCCTGGGGAAAGGCTGGTTTCTGAGGGTGTGTGTGTTTGTGTGTGTGTGTGTATGGATGTATGGAGAGAGAGAGGGGGAGAACAATTTGATTTCTAGAGCTAGGATTTAAAACTAAATTTAATCAATCATAAGGAGTCTAGGTTTCAATTCCTCCTCTTCTCCTTCAAGGCATTAAAGAATGATTAACATTTGTTTAGAAAGAGGAAAATTTAAAGTTAAAGCCAGTGTTTTTGAAACTTCTTTATTTTTAAGCAGCAACCACTTTTTTCCCAGACAGAAATTTCAATCTTGAAGCCTTTTGTATAAAACCAGTAAGAGCTGATTCCCTCTGGTGGGGTGAGGGCTTCTGGTCTCGTGCCAGAGAGTTCCCGGCGGTACTTCCAGCGCCTGCAGGACTCAGGAGCTCACCTTGCATGTCCCACCATGATCCTGTTATTTACCCAAAGTATATAAAATATGGACACTAAGGTTTTTATTGTTTTGTTATTTTAGAAATATCTCTTCCAATAAGCCCTGTAAAGGGAGTTGCCCAGACAAGTCATTTTCTTGACAGAGACTCACTACTAAGTAGCACATACTATACTTACAAGTTTGGGGGTTTTTTTGGTACGTACCCCTAGTGGGAACTGAACCCGGGACTCTCTGGTCCGCAGGCCGACGCTCCAACCGCTGAGCCAAACCGGCCAGGGTTATACTTACAAGTTTCTAACAACTAAAAAGTCAGTTAAAATAAAGAAGGAGGTTGGGATTTTGCTCCCTAGAACAGCCTCGGAGCTCTTCCTCTCGGCACCTGCCGGGTGACGCAGCCTTGCCGAGGCCACGGCCGGTCTCCGCACACGGTGTGCCTTCAGCTCTGCCTTAACCAGGCCCGGGCCGAAGGACGGCAGCCGCCAGCCGCTTGCTGGCTCGGAGCTTCTGGGGCTCCTTCCCTGGGTTCCCGTGCCTTCGGGTACATCACAGTATCTCAGGAACTGGACAGAAGCATTTCGTTTCGGGGACCTTCTCATAAAAGCAGAAATTCTTCCGAGGGAAAAAAAGAAGCTGATAGGAAGAAGAAAGACATATTCTTCAGTTGGAGCATAATTTCAAAAGGCTTTTGTGTCGTGTCTGAAGCACTTAAAAGTGGTTATGCTAACACACGGTGTACAGTATGCGGGAGTGGGAGGCAGTTTTTCACTGTGGAAGTGAGGATTGCTGTATTTGAATAAAATAAATGTTAACGAGAATTTTAAAAGGCAGTGCAACCGAACCGAGTGGCAAGCACCTTCGGAACACAGTCAGTGGAAAGGGAACAGTGGAAAGTCTCGGAGTTAACTGTTTGATTCTTAGCAATAGCTGACCATACAGGTCCCTGGAATTATACCCTCATTGTCACAGTCTGATGTATTCTTAAAGCTTCTGCAAATTAAGTAATAGCTCCCTGGCAAAATAACAGAGTAAGAATAATGGGTGTATTCTGCCATCTTAAAATCGGTAATAGTTGTGTGATCAGCTTCACGTTGAAATGTGCAGTAGTTCTGATTTGTTGCTCATACTTGCCTGCAATTAAAGGCAGCTTTCGGGAGGTTCGGACAGTAAGCGTCCATCCCGTGGCGTGGCTCATGCTAACTCACTTCGTTCTTGCCCTTACACAGCTGTCTTCTCACCACCTACCTGCTCCTGACCCCTCCCCTGCCGCCCCTGCTTACACCTGTAGGATGCCGGGACAGAGGGTGTAGATTTGAATCACAGCCCTGCCATTAAACAACTAGCTCCTCTAATTGTATTGGCATGCGGTCACATCTCTGTAACATGAGGAAAAACTACTTTGTGAATGAGAGAGGAAGTTGCCTTGAAAATAATGCTGTGCAGTATAAACACAGCATCATTGAATGTTTCACATGGCTGTTGTTGCCACTGTCGATTGTCCAGGCCCCCTGTGTGGGGACCTGGTCCCTGGGAAGGACCTTCTGCCCTTTCGAGGGTTCCTCCTCCATTGGGCGTCCTGGAACCAAAAAGGAAGCTGAAGCCCAGGGTCGAGCAGCACAGGCTGTGGCCAGAGGATGGAGAGCGGAGTCAAACCCACACATCTTCTCCTTCTCGAGAAGGGGGGATGATGGTGGGGCAGTATAACGAGGGGGAGGCATATGTATTAGTTTGGGGGCATGGGCTGATCTTTTCCCAGAATTGGGGTGCCACTCCTTTCCCTATGTGGTCCCTGTCAGATCTGTCAAGGCCCCTGAGGGCGTGTCGGTTAGCATGCTAAGGTATTCTAATAAGGGTGAGTGAGGTGCAGGGTATAATGAGGTTCAGGGTCTCCTGGAAGTCAGATTCAGGGCCATCCTGGTTCAGGCCAGCTCTCTTTGGTTTTGTAATTCGATCCCTCTTCCATCTTTTGTGTTTTTCCTGTAACTGAAATGGGAAGATAACTACACAAGGTTTCAACAGCCTGGGGCCCACAGCCCTGGTGACTGTTGTTACGCCACATGTCAGTGTGGGGCTTCATAGAAGCTCCCAGCAGGAATTCCTCCTGCTCAGTGTCTTAGTTATAAT